AGAAGTATGATTGTGTTAACTTAAACAGTACATATGCAGCTACTGCATTAAAAACCAGGAAACAGCCAATCTTCAAATGGCGACAAACGCGACCAGTTAATGTGTTCCGCTCAGCGTTTCTAGCCGGCGGTTCAGGCATCTTCTCGTCTGCCGCACTTTTCTCTTCTCTGACTTCCACTCTCTTTCGTTTACCCGTCATTTCTTGGACGGCAAAATACAAGTTGGCTCGGAAGACGGCATCTCTTTTTATTAGCTCTCTTTTGGCTTGAGCTTTCAGTTGAATTCTTTCAACTTCTTGTTTCGCCCACTGGCACATCTCCTCGACTTTTTCCAAGTCGTCAAAGTACTTGTCTGAGCGCTGCTTGAGTTCGCGGAATTCTCTTTCACATTTGCCAACAAAACTTTTGTCTTTATAAGAAAGATTCCGCGAAGATTCCATTCTGCTTTTAATCGAAGTTGAAGCCATTTTTCGTTATGGAAACTTGCAATTACTCAAAACGATTTTTCTGCAAAAAAACTGGCAGCTTAAAGGCTGCTGATAGAAAGTTGTCTCCTTTGCGTACGCTAACTTTTCAACAACTAACGTAACAACGGATTTATTTTCTTTGTTGTCATAGCGCGCGCTTTTACAGGAGGAAACGCTCGCCCTCGCGCTTAACTGCATGCTTTTTGCGTACTGCATAGGAAGCGGCGGTTTTCATGGTCAGCGCGCTAGTCTTCTGAAGGCCTTGGTTAAAACTCTCATCAGGTCATAGCAACGGATCTTATCGCTCGGAAGTTGATTCGCCCGGAAGTCGATTCACATGAAATGATTGTGACAGGGTACTACGGTTTTATTATATCAGATGACGCGTCCCGCCCCGCTCGCGCAATCCCATCGAAAATCACAGTGAAAGCTGACGTGTGTAGGGCCGGACGGGTTACGTGAACTACGACCCCTTCACGGGAAAAAAAATAGCTCGGAGCTTAATTCATCTGTCAGCTTTCCGTATTTAGTGTGTCCGATTCTTTACCCAGATAGAGTATTACCTTGTGAGGTAAATAAAAAAGTAATAATTCGATTAAAGAAATAAAACTTTGAATTTTCACCGAAGTTCGCTTTGAATTTTAAGTTTAACTTTTTAAAACCTTACAAGCTCTTAATCCATGACTTACGCAAGAAACAGCGGGCGAGACGATCATGAACCTTGGGGGTGGGGAAGAGGAGGAATAGCACTACTACTGAAAACAAGATAAGCATTGGTAATTAAGTTGAACGATCATGCTCCTGTTCAAATTTAATTTTTGTGGCATTTGAAAATTTATACGTAGAGTAGTCGCCTGAGGAATTTAAAAACTTTACTTACAGCCCAATCTCAGAAGTGAAATTTTAAGGACGTTAACGGGCCCTCCTCCAACAGGGAAATATAAACAATCAAATCTTGCCATTTTGAACAATGTGATAATATCCAACACATCCAAAGCCTAAAAAAATCCTTATGAGCAAGTGGCATTTAGCACAGCAACAACCATTGTTAAGAGAAGTCTTCAAAGAACCGCTGATAACATCATAAAGAAAGGGGCGTTTACTCAGACGTACTAACGAGAGCAAAATTATTACGAAGGCGGGAAAATCGGACATAATAAGGGTCGTGTAAACACTTGTAACTATTACAGAGAGAACTCGACGTACTACGGAGTCATTTGGGCCTGTCAACCCCAGTTTACACGGTAGCATCAATTAAGCCTGTTTCTAAAGCAGATAATACTTTCTGATGTCTCTGAAGCCCGGGGTGACGCGTAACTTGGGCTTAATTATGATCCCGCCTATGCTCGTCTTATTCCCTATCCCGCCTCCGAAACGGAGCACATCCCGGTCTCGCCCTCCAATTTTCATACCGCATCTCTCGTATCCCATATCCCGCCTCGATTTTAAGCCTCATCCCCCATCCCGCCAAACCTATGTTGGACCCTCAGACTTTGTACAGTCGACTCAAACCGAAAATGTCCCGAAGAGTTCCGTCCCAGACTCGTCTACAGTCGGGACTTCAGGACCCACGGCAGTAAGGGGAAGGGTGAGGATCTAACCTATGTTAGACCCTCAGACTTTGCACAATCGACTCAAACCGAAAATGTCCCGAAGAGTTCCGTCCCTTACTCGTCTACAGTCGGGACTTCAGGAACTAGGGCAGTGAGGGGATGGGTGAGGATGGTTCTTCTCTATCTCTGCTCGATAGGTGTGGGTCGCCCAAAGGCTTCTAGGTTTGTAAGGGTTCTCTAAGAAAATAAAAGTATGTCTTTCAACTCCCAACGAATAATATAGAAAAGGAAGTAATAAAAATAAATAAAAGAAATGGCAATTTAGCAATAAACACTTCACCAGATGGCTCTTCTCGTCCACTGTTTCCAGACTGAACTGGAACTTAAACTGTTGGTTTTTGTGGACGGATGAAAACTGGAGAACCCGCAGAAAAAAACCCTTAGAGCAAGGACGAGAAACAATAACAAACAAAACCCACATGTGACGCCATGTCCGGCCAAAGTGGCGGAAGTAATTTAGTATTATCAACTGAGTTGATAACGTAAATTGACCACCGTAAAGAATTTAAAAGCTGACGTTTCGAGCGTTAACCCTTCCTCAATCGCTGTGACGACGGGCTAACGTTAGAAACGTCGCTTTAAACTCTTTACGGTGGCCAATTTACGTTATCAACTCAGTTGGTAATGCTAAATTACCTTGATATTTTCTCCCACCGACGCAGAACCACAGTTTCTCTAGAAAGTTAGCCCCTTTATTCAAAGTGGCGGAAGGCGAGCTCTCTCACCATTGCTTCATCCCCGCCGGCTCCAGAAATCCAAACATATCACGTTTTTCGAGAAATTTTTGCGGTAAAGCCAATTTGAGGACCTGCAGGATGTATATTAGACGGAATTCAAGTAAATCAGCTCGGCGAAAAAACGCTTGACAGCAACAGTTTTGTAAAGAGAGGTTACTCAGTCTTGGGGCTCTTTCTCATGTTACGCACTCAGGCAGACACCCCGAAATCTGAATGTATTCTATGAACCAATGATTTGCGCTCCGTCGCCAGTGAAGTGCTCGCATATAATTATTTTTGTCCCGTTTTGGGTCTCCAGGTGATTATATCTATTTTAGCAATTTTCTTGAAAGCCTACATGGGCGTCACTTTACCAGATGGGAAGATTACGCTCCGTCTTTTTTTGTGAGTCGTATAAACGACTTTTCCGAAATCGCTCATACGTTCATTTTACTTTTTTCTAGTATTTCGTGGGAAGAAGCAAAAGGCGGAGATTGGAGTTTTTTTTCCGGGTATTTGACATCGTCACTTTGACCTTCCATAAAAAGTGAAACGGAACACACTCACTACACTCGATCAGTATGTCAATCTCCACTTTATCAATTCTTATAATTCAATAATTTTACTTATAATTTTCATATAAATAATGAGTTTGACTTAAATTGTCATATTCAGTGTTTAACACAACCATTGCAATAACAAAAAATATTTTCACATTCCTTCGACAGAAGAAATATCTGATAAATGAAGATTCTTCAAATTAACTTCCTAATCATTATGCCTTGCCAGATTCTTCAGCTCGGACGTATTTCTCCCAGTCACTTTCCTTTTCAAATTTCTTGCAAACCTCAAACAACTTCTTCACTGTCGTCTTAACTTCTTGTTTTCCTTTTAAGAGAGAAGCACGTAAAGTATTAAATGCAGCACGACTAAGTAACGCTGTGAGGTGTCATTCTTCAAGTAAGACATACAGTCGACTCCTGATAACTTGAACCTTCAAGGGAAACTGAAAAAGGTTCGATTTGTATTTTCAAAAATTGTAAAAAAAAAATTGTATTTTCAAGTCGTCGTGTGCAATCTGTGTCAATCTTATGCATAATACAACATTTTTCTTCACACCTCTTTGGTGCTTTGCTACACAAGAAAACTGTCATTTAAAGAGAAACTCCTAACCCCAGGGAACCATTCAAGGCTTCGAGGGAAGAGTTGAAATAAGGAAGTACCTGCTAAT